ACTGTATATATATATATATATATATTCTGATATATTCTGATATATATTCTGACCAAGTGTGGATTTAAAAAAAAAACTGGAATAAATTCAAACTTCTGCACCAATTTCTTGTTTTCAAAGGTCATTGAAGTTTGTTTTTGTGCGCATTGGAAATCTTCGCGGACGATCGCTGCTGTTGATGAAGTGAACTCTCTTGTTGGTTTAGTCATCTTTGATGTGAGCACGCATGCGCCGTTGAGTGTTCACGCATGCGCATCGGTGAACATCTGCATGGCGGCGGATATGTTGAAAACACGCTTGTGTCGTCTCCGTACGTTGCTTTAACTGGTGAGATAAACACGAATTTTGAAGGTTAAAATAGCCAAAATCGATGTTTTGACTTTATATGTGTTGTTTGAGTGAATATTTATCAATTACGGTGGAATTTTTTACCATTTTAACAGCATTTAAACCAGTTTTAGCTCACAAGCTAACGTATTTATGTAGTCAATTCTGATTAATTTGGTTTGATTTAGCCCAACTCTTCCTCACAAAACATTTAATTTAGCTCAAGAAATACTTATTCAACTACATAATACTGCTGGTACGGGTGTAGTTTCAGTGAAATAAGTAATTTTAGTGCATATGAGACCACAGTTTTGTGGAAAAGTTTTGTGGTCATATTTGTCATCACCTTGACCYGCCATATCTGAGCACGGAGGTGGAAACATTATGGTTTGAGCCTGTTTTTCTGCTACGAACGGTTTCTGACCGAAGGATGAAGACGTGAACCGGAGAGTCCTGGACRAGAACCAGCCGGGTCACTGAAGATGGGTCCAGCAGGACACGGACCCATAATTCTTCCTGTTTTGTTTTCAGTCCGCAGTCAGCTGATGGGCGTTGTGTTCCTCACCTCAGGAAGTCGCTGATGTTTTGTTAGAATGACATCTGTGGAAAAGGAGGCAGAACCTTCTGGTTTCCAACGAGTCGTGCTGAAGAACGCAGAACCGTACCGGTACATGAAAGTCCGCCTGTAAGTTTGGTTCGTTTTATTSTGCGTATGAAACCAAACCTTATCGAACTCGGTCACTTCCCGTCTCGTTTGGACTGCAGAGTTCTGGAGGACGAGGAGACCAGACTGAGTGCGGTCCAACTGAAGAGTTTCATCATCGCGGGCCTGAAGAGTCTTCACGGGGAGGTGAGCTCGTCGGCACGGCTCGGAGCCAAAACCATGGGAAAAAAAACAGCTTTAAAACTGAAACTAACACGTGACGAACCTTCAGGTGGGCGCGGCGTTGAACTTCGACGTGTTGAAGTTCGATGAAGACTCTCTGAGCGCTCTGCTTCGTGTTTCCAGCAGGTGAGCTCCCTGATGGGAGGAAAGAGGAAAATATATTAGTTTGTTTTTAATGTTCTTGTTTCTCAGGGGTTTGGTGAAGCYGTGGAGCTCCCTGACTCTGCAGGGTTTCTACCAGAACCAGAACTGCGCCTTCAGAGTCCTGCAGGTCAGCTGATTCATCGTTTGGGGGGAAACTTTGCAGTAATTTATGGTTACTGACACATCCCTGCATGTTGGGAAGAAAGCTGGATTATTGATCCTTAAAGTAAACTACAGATTTAGGACTGTTTACACTTTGTAGTTTCAACTCATGCTTAGTATTTTTTTAAGTTAAGTTTTCAATTCAATTAAAATGTTTTATTAATTTCATTTAAAAATACTATATATAAT